GCATTAGTAGGGTTGTTGTGTGCAAGATGCAGGAAGTAACCATTTTATTGTCCTTAGTGATAGTGAAACTCAGCAAGAAAAATGCACCCAGTTTTGGGCACTCTGTTTTATGAAAGAAGCTGGAGGAGAAAAAGAGGAATGACAACAGATTTCGGAAACACGACCTTTGAGGAGAGATTGAGAGAACTGGATTTGTTTAGTCTAGCAAAGAGATGGGGAACATAAATCTTTTGATAGGCATGAGATTGCTGTAAGAAGGTGGCAGTCTATTACTCTGTATGTCTTAGATTGTTAACGTCTCTTTCAGTTGCAGAATATTCCTATTTGGGTTAAATGCAAGGGGAAAAAATCACAGCTTCAAGGCTGTGTAATCACTAGCCTGATCACAAGGCTTATGAGGAAGTTGGAGAATACCTTTCCTCAGAAGGTTTTGAGACAAACTTAGAGAAAGGGGCAAAAATAAACCCAACCCAAACCTGCCTGAATTGTTAGGCTGGTCTTATCACGCTTTCATGAGTGGGCTTGAATTAAACAGTCTTTGGGTGCTCTTCCAGCACTACACTACTTCTTTTCCTTACAAAATTTAACATTTTAACAAGAGAGCAGAGATGTAGAAGACTCATCAATGATTTGCGGTTCCTGACTTAGACTTTAAAAAACTGGGGAAAAAAGATAATTTTTTAGGAGGAAGATAAGACATGGAATATTTCAGAAATTTCTGTAATTTTCTAATTTTGCCTTAGACAGTAACAAAAATATTACTGATAAGAAATATCTACACCCCATTCCTACCGCAGCCTTACATGGCTGGAAGTGTCACGGCCCCTCGAAGAGTGCATCAACACTCTGCACACAGACAAAAAGCTCATCTTAGCAAGTCAGTTTTTGGAACCAGTGCCTCAGTCATTGTGCTGGAGTTTTAAACTGGGGAAAAGCACAGCTTCTGCTGCAGCCTCACTTTGGCAGCAATTCATAGACCAAATAAGAACAGCTTTTTTTCCCTCCTTCCTTCACTGCTGAATTTGGCTTGTTCAAGAAAATGTAGGAAGAGGGAAGACTGAACTTTATGAATGCTTCGTTTTTGTTTTCTTTTGTAAGCCTGTGAAAGCAGGGAATTAAAGAGTCTTTGCAGGTGAGAGAGTTGGAAATATTAAAGTGGGTTTGTGCATGTGTTTGGATGTGTCATTCTGTGGTGTGTAGTGACACAATAACCTGGAAAGTGCAAACCCAAATATATCTCTAGCTTTACTATGAATAGGACATATCTCTGTTTCTTCTTAGTGTGTAACTGTGCAGTACCTGTTAATTATTTATTTTGAACAGGAAATTTTTCTGGCATCTTTTGTAACTCTGTATTTTAGATGGAACAGGAATTAGCTCATAAAAGTGCACTTAATGGTGCCATATGTAAAAATTACTTTCATCTTAATGCTTTTAGCACATGGGTGATGAGAATTCGATAGCTACTCTGTCACTTTCCAGCCCACTTGTGAATGATTAAACTGGATAAAAAACCCCCAACTGTATTAAGCTAAGCACAAACTACACAAGCAGATCAATACATATCTTGAAAGAGTTGGAGATCTTGCACCACAAAAACATCAGCCTCTTTGCAGGATGGTCTTGCACTTCTTGAGATCCTGAAGAGCCTTGGAGGTCTTGAGAGTTGCATCAGTTTCAGATGTGTAGGTTTTTGTTTTGATTCTGAAGTTTGATGATCATGACTGGGGCTCACAATACACAGATGGAACATAGTGATTCATTACGACTCTCTTTGCTCTACTAGCTTACTTTATCAAACTGGTTTTATTTTAAATGTATCATATTTGATTGCATGAAAATCTGAAGCCATTTTTTTCATTATAGATGATAAGCATTTTAACTGAAAAACTGTTAATTATTATTTCATAGCTGTATTCTACATAGAGGGTTTTCCTGAATGCTGATCTCTTCCTCTTTTTAAGGGTTTTCAAGTTACATCCATTAATGTAAGTCTTAAAATGACTGTGGTTATTTAATTTTTTTTAGAAATAAATAAATAAATAAATAAATAAAAATACAAGAAGACATTTGCTTTTTTTTGAAAGATTTTCGCCTTGCCTACTAGAAAAGCTCCTTAGAGATTTTGTACCATACATTACTATTCAGAGTTGATTCAAATTCAGTATGATTCAAAAATTGGTCAACCATTACTAAGTTAATGTTTTCTGAAATCATTTGGCCTAGTAGATAGGCTAGGAAGTAATAATTGCAGGCTACCTAAGCCGTTTGAAGGGTGAGTTAGGGAAGTATTCTGCTATTGTGGGAACATTTCTTATGAAGTCACAGTACGACAGTGATTGAAACAAAAACGTTTGCACAATTCTTAAGAATGTGACCCCAGCAATTATCCTGGAGTACGTAAATGTTAACCTCTTTTTATTAAACCCTTTAGCTTTTGAAACCAGTAGTGAAAAATGTTGACTTAACAGGTGTACAGTTTCGAAGAGCAAACTGCCTTCAGGGTAATTCTGCAATGGGGTTCATTTTGCAGCATTAGAGCTGACTTGTCATATTAATAGCCTGCACCCGCCTGTGGCAGCCTAAAAATGGTATTGCGGTACTCTGTGATGCACAAAGGACATTGTATGAGCACTGAGCAGTTGTACTAGCATTCCTAGCAGAAAAATAATCATTTTTCCCCTCTCCCCACAAAAAATGCTAGACTAGTATTTTAAGGATATGTAAACCATCTTTATATATATATATATATATATATATATATATATATATATATACCATATATCATTAAACACTTTTGTTTTCTACTCTGATTTTACTATCATGCTGTCTGCGTGAAATTTCTTTAGATGTGCTCAGTTCAGTACGGAGTAAAATTATAAATAGGAATCAAGTTGACTTTTCTCTTGAGTATCTGGTTTTTGTATTGATCACATCATAAACTAAATGTGTGTTAGCAAATCATTTGGTGATTAGCTGAAAATTTAATCTTTTTCTTGTTTAGCAGGCATACTAAAAGACCAGCTGATAGATACTGGTGCCATCACTGTATTGTACAGTTTGATTTTGTACCTGGCGTATCTTCATGAGCTCATATTCATGAATTATTTTGTGTAGGTTTTGTTGTTTTGCATCTGTGTCACAGTGCTAGGTAAGGTCTCTTAATAAAAACCCTTATTCGCCTGTCTGCTTGTTTAAACATCTAAATCATTACCTGAATGATAATACCTTTGTGGTACTACAGTAACACTTCTCTCACTCAAGTAAGATAGATTCTCTTTGTACGAGACACTCAGTGAAGACATGCAAGAAACAGCGTAAACTTCAGTTCACTGTCTAAATAGGTAACATTGGGTGAGGGTGAACGGAAGTCAGATGCAGAGATAGAAAATTACTGATCTGAAGTTTGAAGGCAAATTCCTGAAAGACCTCAAAACAAAAGCCAGGTCTTCTGTGCTGAATGAATATTCTTTGTCCTTTCCTGAGAAGACGTGTTTGTTGTGGAAAATATTTTGGCAAACATATGTTATACCTCTTGTCCTTCAGCAGCTCCGTCCCCTTATGGAGGCTGCATGTTTGCTCTCGCTCCCTGCGTGCATCGGCCTCCTGTGTATTTCAAGTGCAGTTCTGCTTCTGAGCCATGCCTGAGCTTCCCCTCCGCACCTACAGCTGGTCCTTTCTTTGGTCATAGGCATCAATTTTAACATTATTGGTGCAGCTCTTGTGTTTCAGCACATCTTGCCTGCTCCCTTCGTGACATGCTTAGGAGTCTCTCTGCTTAGGTGCTGGCTGATGTTACTGCATTTGCAATGAGAATTGCTGTTTTTCCTCTACCTTGCGTTTCAGACATCTTTGTTACAAACTGGTGTTTAGTAAATAGTTTCTTACCTTATATCTAAAATGCCTGTCCCTGAGGCTCAGTAGTTCTTACAGCACCTGATATGTAAGTCTGCAGTATGCTGTTGTATTTTACACAGAATTGTTTTTTGAACTTTGCATGCTGGCAAATCCTGCAGCTTGATTTAGAGTTTGCTGTATTTCTGTGTCCTCTCATTTCACCCTTCTTCTAGAAACCCTCTGCATTGCTTTTGATTGCATCTACTGCAAACCATTTGTTCTGGCTGCCCCAGATCCCTGTGTGCCACCTCTGGAAAGAGGCAGCTAAAATAATCTTCTTTCATGCTGCACCAGCCCTTCATGGTTGCTTTTATTCTTCTACCTCAAATTCAAGCACCTGACTTTGAAAAGTCCATGTGGTGGTCCCCTCATCTGATACGCTGCATCTGTTTGCTGTACCTATGTTCCTCCCACAGAGCAAAACGTCTTTTGAGTCTCTGAGTTGTTAAATGCCAGCCTATTTCTCTGGTTGCCATGTATTTCCCTTCTACTAAATGTTGTGCGTTAAATACCTGCTGTCTCCTCAGAAGTGCTTTTGTGGGGCTTTACAGGACTAAGATAATACGGTTGTGATTTATGCCTGTTTTGATAAACCCTTCAGAAACCTTATGCTATATAGAAAGTAACCAGTAAACTCAGAAATCAGACACCTAGTGAACTGGTTGAAGGGAATGGAGCGTATTGGGAAAGTTAACCTCTGCTTTGTCTTTCTCCTTTAGCTTATTAAATTCTTTAGCACGAGAATGGCCCCAGAACTAAGACTTGTCAGCCTGCTTTGTCATACAGCATGCGTAAGATTTGAGAAAGCTCAAACAAATAGTTTGTTTTTTTGCAAGAAGAAAAATCCCAGTCTTGCCTAGAAAAAAAGTAATGAGATCTCTCTCATAAATGACACATCAAAACTCTTTCCTAAATTACACAGAAGAGATGCTCATAGTAAGGCCCATGACAAGTCCCCAAGATTACTGGGAAGGCTAAAGAATGGGATTGGGAATGTCTGCATTGATAAGAAGCTCAAAATTACTGAAAAACAATAGAGAAGAACAAATGGGAATTATGTAAATAAATCCTCTAATAATGTGTTTTGGTTTTGGTTCATTCAGGACAGCACAATTACCTGTGTGCGGGAAGGAATGACTGCATAATTGATAAGATCCGAAGGAAGAACTGCCCAGCCTGTCGATTACAGAAATGTCTGCAAGCTGGAATGAATTTAGGAGGTAAGCAGAATATTAATAGTTTGGTCTCCTAATTTGATTAGGCAAAAACATAGGAAATGTGCAGCCTTTTTATAGTTCTGGCAGCTGCATAATCTCAAAAGTTTAACATGGAATTATCCTGAAGTGCTTAATAGCTAATAAGCTCTATTGTCATTCTAAATCAAGTTTTGGAGACACGTATTTTACAGCTCAGAAAAAAGAAAAGTGAGTGTTTTATGATGATGGTAATTTTAGTGGAATTTCATATAGATAAAAGTATTATGGTTTCAAGTATCACATGTTTGTATTGTGGTTACAAGTATCGCTTTTTATGACAAGCATTCTCTTAAATGCAGGGAAAGATTTTACACCATCATGAAAGCAAATCAGCGTGTAGTGAACCTCTCCACTTTTTTTGTTGCTTGTTCAACATTTATATTGGATTATTTCTGCAACTGTATGGATATGTGGTTTAGATAATATTACTCCACTGTGCGTATGCTACCAACAAAAAGACAAAACCTTTCCTTAATAACTGTCAACAGTATTTTGAAAAGAGTATGATAGCAAAACTTACAATAGGGTTTTTTTCTGTTCTTTCAATTCTTCAATTGCAATGTCTGCACAATTCTGGCTGTGCTTCAGTGGGCGTCTTGTTTCAAGTTACCACCTGAGTAAATTGTATTACAAATCACTTTTTTCCCCACTACTTTTAGGTTTATTGTGTTGTCTGTGAACGGGGCTTTGGATACTTCTGCAGGTCCTTTCCCTGATGCACAGAGTGGCCCTTCCCTTATAGAGTGTTTTCACTGTTCCAGAAAATTATAGCATGGTCACATTAATCCCTCCAAATCATTTCCCAATTCGCTTTTTATCCTCCTGGACCTATTCTCTGCTAGTAGCTTAGTTTAGTTCTATAGACAGATTTAGCTGCGTGTCTTTCATAGGTTATATGCAAAATCCTAGTTCCTGCCTTCTGCCTGGTACCTTTTTCTAACTCCCAGATGTCTTTTTCTGTCTTGTCTCCTGGCAGAAATACTCAAGCAAAGAACTTCTTACTTTTTTGGGGATGTTAGCCCTGTTAACACCTCTTTCAACTCTTTTCCCTTCAAGTTGCCTTCTAGGCCCCTTGTTTCTGCTTCCCAAAAGAAAATGGGGCCAGACTGTGGCATGCTGGGTGCTGACAGTTTTCCCTTGATTTTGATCTGTGCTATTGATACCAGCAAGGAAAGCAGAACAGCACCTTTGTTTGATGAAGTGGGAGCTCCGTGGTACTAGCTCATTCTTTCCAAAAAAAAAGATGCCGAAAATGCATGTGGAGCAGGAAACCCAGATCCCCGGGGTATTGGAAATCTTGCTGCAGCCCTCCAGCAGCTGGTGCAGGGCATCCTCCGTTGCTGTGCCCTTCTAGATGGCATGTGTGCTTAGCACTGCATCAGAATACAGGGCTGCAATCTGACTTGATAACCTTTTGAAACAGCAACGTGTGACACTTTACAATGTCATGAGTTCATCACTGCGATTTCCTAGTGTGTTTGAAAGGATGTGTTCACACAGTGTCGTCTGCAATGAAAAACAAGGGAGGGGTAAACTTTCCTTGAGAGGGGTTGTTTTTTTCTCATTCAGACACATTGGCTGGAAATCTTTAAATGAGGAATGCATTGAAAATCTTCCCCTATGTTGGAGCTTGGTAGTCTGCTGGAAATTGTAATTAGCGATCTGCATTTAATGACCTAGAAGGCCAAGTCTGCCTCCACAGTGTACAGCTGGCGTGTGGTTGAGCTTTGCTGTTTATCTGTTTTGGTGGTTTTCTTCATGTAGGGGAACTGAAGTGAAATTCTCATTCCTGATTTGACCCATTTATGACACATAAATGAACTAAAATTACATAGAAAGGTCTTTCCATCACAGCAGTGAGTGAGAGAGTGTGGATATGGCGCTGTCTGGATGTTAATGCAATGTAGTACCCTCTGCATGGTCCAGGAGGCAGCAGCTAGGTTGGAGGCAGAGAGGACAGCTGCCTGAGAGAGGTAAAGCGCGTGCTCCTTGGAAACAGAGTTACTGTGTAGAGGGCTCTGAGGCTTGGTAAATTATGTTAACCCACCTTTCAGCCTTTGACCCTGTCCAGGTCTGGCAAAAAATGTTGGTAGAAAGGCCATTTGCTGCTTAGGCGTTTCTTCTTACCCGGCTCTGAGAATCATGGAATCATAGACTGGTTTGGGTTGGAAAGGACCTCTGCTGTGGGCAGAAATACCTCCCACTGGACCAGGTTGCTCAAAACCCCACCCAGCCTGGCCTGAGTTTTGCATCGGGCATCTCCAGAGGAGCAGCACAGCATCTCAGGCTTAATTTTGGGAAATTCTGTGTGCTGTTGCAGGGGAGTTCTGATAGGACGGAGATAATCACAAAAAAGGAGGTGGAAATGGGAAGAAGAAAGATTAATGAGTATTTGAAACCAGTAATTTTCTCTTCAAACAAATTTCCAAGGTTTAGTATAACATTTTTTCATAATTAGCTCAAAGAGACTGAGTATGTTCATATTATTATGAAGATGCATTGGAGCTTATAGCTTCATTTGGTCAGCCAAGTTTTGCAAAGAATATGCGCTAATAAAAATAGACTTTTAACTGTTTATAATTTGAACTTATGGGCAAAATGTGCAAGTGTTGTGCTAGGCAGTGTGATCGGTGTGGAGCTGGAGGAAAATGAATTTATAAGCAGTGTAGTTCAAGTCCTGTTTGCAGCACAGCCCTTTCTGCAGCTGAGTCACACTGCACAGTGCTGTGCTCTTTGTGCACCAGATCTAAGTTGAGCTCTCACCCTCCAAATGAAAGCGGAGGTAAACACAAAACCCAGACTGTATCAGAGATGCCAATGTGTTTGGCTCCTGAGAAGCAGAGTAAGATGATATGCAAAAGGGTCACAAGAATAGCTCAGGCCTGAATTGCGTGCAGGTTCCTGAAGCCGTGGGCACTTCTCTTCCACTTGTACATAATTATAATGTTTTATCCTCTTATTAAAAACTAAATAAATAAATAAAATCCCAAGTTGATGTAGGAGAAATGTTGCCTTGGGGAACAAGGACCTTGACTTTTCTTTTGCAGCTTTCCCTGTCTTCAGATAGGGACCTCAGGCTGCCGACCTGCTCCTCCTGCTTACTGCCATGGGGGGTTATAAAGCAAATTGTTAATTTGAAAGTTTGTGATTGTCCTCTTGTTGTTATTGAAGAGATTAACCTGTGTAGTGGCAAACTGGAAATCAGAAAGAGAGTTTCCCTATTTCCTGCAGCACATTTTTGCACGATCTCCGATTAATCCACTGAACTCTTTTCTTTGGTTTTTGTTGTTGGTTGGGGTTTTTGTTTTTTTTTTTCCCTTTTGATTAGATTCTTTGTCAATATGTTCTTTCTTTTGTTTGCTGTGTGAAAGTGTCACAGGTCGTTTTGATGGCATATCTCCTGCTTCCCGGCATGATGACAGTTGTTTTCCTAAAAAAAACAAACAAAAAAAATAAATTAATATTTTGATGTGTGGCAGCATGCTATGCTTTAAGCACCTTTTATAAATATGTGTAGTTCAGCGATACAAAATACATCTTTTCATGAATGCTCAACCAAATTAATTTGGCAGTTTTATTGTTTACCTCCTTGTTTTGTTTGCTGAAAAATTGGAGCATTTTCCAAGCTCTTAGATCCTCTAATAATCTTTAGAAAATTATTCATCAAGGCAGCAAATAATTTACCTAATTATGTTTTTTTTCTCAATTTTTGTTTTGATTTTCTAAGAAGCATCTGCAACCTGTAATTTCTGCAAAGCTGAAGTTATCAAATATCATGTTAATTCATCCTCCTCATTTCTATAAAGTCTCTGTATGCACTACAGACAGACATATCCCTTTGGCAAGTAGGATTCCAAAACTTTTTCGGATATCATAGTTTGTTTGTTGCCGTGTTGGTGGTTTTTTTTTTTAACTCCGGTGACATATGCTAGACTTAATTATTGGAAGAGATTCAGAGTGAGCAACTGCACTCTGAAGGTATGCTGGCCCATTTTTGGTTTATGCTCTTTTCAAGATTCTGTAATTAATTTTCAGTTAATTATGGACCAGAATGACTTCATGAATTGTGAGGTTTCTTCCAACATACGCTGTGATCAGATTTGTCGAGTCTCTCACTTCTGCACGAGACATTTTCATTTGACTCCCACCTCATGCTGCTGTTCCTTAGTCGTGTCTGTCCCTGCTGCAGCACTGGGGGAAGGGAAGGGAAGTGAGATGCCACAGTCCCACCCTGGTGTTCAGCATGGTTTCTTTTGTGCCATTCAGCAATGTAGCTGGTGTCTTGCAGCAGTGCCTGGGATGCTGCGCTGCAACCAGGGCAGGCCAGAGCTCCTGGTTTTATTCCTGCTGTATTTTGTGTTTTATGTGCTGTACCCTGATGAGATCTCTGCCCACCAACTCCTTTTCTTGGCAGGTTAGTCCTTGCCCCTCTGATGTGACCTAGTGAGCAGGCACAGAATCATAAGAACCACATAATGGTTTGGGTTGGAAGGGATCTTAAGCTTATCTTCCACCAGACCAGGTTGCTCCAAGCCCTGTCAAGCCTGGCCTTGAACACTGTCAGGGGTGAGGGATCCCTTCCTCTTCTGTGTGATCAGAGAGGATCCCACTTGAGCCATGTGATGTGCCATATGTGCTTACGGTACAAAAATGTGCTGAGAGGGTCAGTACCATGTAGGACTGCATTCCTTTCCTGCCTCAGCTCCCACGTAAAACACTGCTGAGAATACCAGTACTGGTCTCCCACAACAGTGAGAAGCAGCTTGTTGAAGTATCCTTTGGATATCGAGGGGAAACAGAAGAGATTTCACCTTGCAAATTGCATAGTTCATCACTCTGTCTGCAGAGACTGCCTGTGAAATTTGAGTCTTGGGTCTGCATACATTTACATATGTAAGACACTTCATGCACACGGTGCTGCCTGAGATTTGTAGTCTTCACTTGCAGATATCCTTATTTTTTAT